CCAGGCAGGCCATGTTACTGAGCTATACCCCTGGCCCATATTAGAGTTATGTTTTATTAATTCTTTGAAATGTAACTAGTTCTTGGCTACATTTCAACTTCATTGTCTTCTCCATTTTCCTTTTGGAATTTTTATTCTCTGAACGTCTTATATTTTTTCTGAATATCTAATGTTTTATGCTGAATCATTTTTCCAATATTTGATCATGACAATATTAAATTAAGCATTCCCCCTTAAGGACTGTGTAATAGGTCACACTATTTCATGAACAAAAAGAAGCATAAGGAAATGTAGAAAAAAAAACAAAAGCAGATTTTACTTTCACTTCCCTCACCCTTTTACATGTGCAGAACAGTCTGTATTACTGAACCACATTAAAGAAAACGACTTCTCCAAATGTGACCATCCAGTCCAATACATAGCTGTGTGAAGGTCACTGCTGAACTGTTAAGAGGAAGTCCGCAATTCATTACATGCTCACCTACACAGTGTTCTCCTTCTAAACACAGTTCTAGCTTTATTTCACTTGTTAATTTTTGACCACGGCTTCGTGGGATGGATCCTTCTTTTTGCACTGGATTCTGAAAGCCTACATGACCCCAGTGCATGTTTCTGGTGTATGTATAGGATCACAGATAGGTACTTTATGAATTAGCCTATCCTACTACACTTTATCCACGTAAGTAAGCTATATTTTTTCTGGACTAAGATGGTTATTAAAGAAATACAAATTACAAAATAAAGAGATAGTGACATTCTGAATGTTTCTTTGGGAAAATAAAGTAGCTGGTAAATCTGCTCAACAAACAAAAAATAGGCCAGGCTTTTGGAGGCTGAGGCAGGAGGATCACCATAAGTTTGAGGTCATCCTGGACTATGTAGTGAGTTCAAGGCCAACATGAACTACATAGCAAGACTCTGTCTCAAAAAAACCAGCCAACCAAATGCCCTCCCTCTTCTGCTATTTTATGGGAAAAATCATGGTCCCAGTGCCAAGAGAAACAGGTCTAGAGGCAAAACAACGCTATCAGAAAGTTCTTTGCCACATCTGTGTTATTTTGGACCCTGCCAGAGATGCCTCCGTCCACTGCTGAGACTACCTCGTGGGCCGTGTAAGCTGCTGCTCAAGGCTCAGCAGTGGGCCGGCTTGCCTGCTATTCCCACAGACACCTGCGAGGCCCAGGATGGAGTTACCTTTAAAAAGTCTTTGAATTCTGTGTCTTCGTCTGTCTTCTGCTGTAACAGAGCTGCTCCATTAAGCTGACAGCTGCAAAACCTGATGTAGGCCTGCATGTGGGACAGCTCGGCCGCAAGGATGTCCCCAATCATCTGCACAGGCATCTTTTCACCCCCGGTCTTCTTCCGGACCCGCAAGGCCCTGCAAACGACACGTTCTCACCTGTTTCTCAGCAAATGTCCTCAGCAATTAAAAGATGAATGCTGGGGTGCCCAATGGTAAGGACACCACTGGGCACCTAGGAAGGCCAGGAGGAACAGGAGATAGTGCGGGCTAAAGCTGTGCTGGCCAAGCCAACCCTTGGAACACGCCAGTGAAGAGGAAAAAGAAAACGAAGCCTACGCACATGAGACCTTTAGAACTGATTTCACCCTAACCTCAGAAAACAGTTCCTTCTGAAAAATTCTAACCAATTCATCTGAACCAAGTAGTCTGTGAGGGAAGAAAGGGGCGCAGGAGTTGCAGAGGACCTGGCAGAGGGGGCACTGTCAGGCCAAGGAGGGCAGAGGTGCGGCCGGGCACCCTCCTCACAGGACGAGGACAGACAGTGACTCAGCCTGGGGCTCACAGGGGGACTGAGCAGGCTGCCAGGCTGGCTGGTGATGTCTGCGCTGTGAGCCGCAGCTCCTCTTTTGGATGCATTCACTTTCTGCTGAGGCACAGGTCTTAGAATCACGCTTTAGGACCATACATTAGCATAGTGCTTGATGATTTCATTTTGTCTCTGTTGAATTATTTTGTTATATTTCTCTATTGTGCTCAATAAGGATGTGTTCTGTGTCTAGGGAGCATCTCCCCAAATGATAACAGTGCAAAGCCTGAGGGAACAGAAGGCAGCTGTAAGGACGGGGACCCGCACCACTCACTTCAGAAGCTTTGTGTTGGACATGATGAGCTCTTTCCAGTTGACAAAGATCAAGGCCATTTCTCCTTCCGTGAGAAAGCCTGACTCTGCCATCTGCTTCTGAAAAACCTAGGTTCAAAACACAGAAGGAATAAATTTGCTGCAGTGTGGACACACACCCTAGGTGTGGGCTAAATTGATGTTTTCATATACTCAAACTTGTGAGACCATGGTACTTCTAAAAAAGCATCATTAGGGCTGTACACTTTAAACTGCGGTTTCCCTACTGTTTTGCTGCTGAGCTCTGATCAAGGCTGATTCTTAGGACTGAATCCAGTAATCTCCTTACGGGGCGGTTCTCTGCCCTACCCCAGAGGGATGCTAAGAAGGCTGAACAGACCCCGCCACAGAGCACCTGAGTGCTGTAAGACCTCGAGGAAATGAGGACGCAAACTCCTGTCAGGCTGAGCATTTCTGAGTTCTTGGAACTCTGTGGAAAGTACGGTGATAGCTTAGGCTGCCCTGGGACTGACCTTGGGCTGAGGTGATCAAGAGTTTGGCTGGTGGAAGGAGAAATCATAATGCCGTCTGTATCGCATGCATACACAAACAAGCAGGGGTGTGCGTGTGTGCGTGTGTGCGTGTGTGTGTGTGTTGTGTGCACACAGCATTAGCGTCATAGATGATACAGGTGAGGCTCAAGGGCGCATGAGGGAATAAAGGCTTACAGAGCCTACACAGAATCACAAAGGTAGAACATCAGGGAACTAGAACTAAAACTCCACTGCTTTTGATTTGAAGTCCAAGTTTCCACTAAATAACTACGATCGCCAGAGAAGGACTTTGAAAGCCTTAAGGAAACAGCAGTGATCCGGAACCTCTCTTCTCCTGTGTGATCTTTCCAAAATACATAGACACGCTGCTCCCTGCTGAAATGGCTCAAAGGCTCCCCGCTGGCAGCCTGAGGAGACGTGAGTTCTGCCGAGGTCCACAGCTCGGTGAGATCCACTCCCTGCTGACCCCACGAACGGACCCTGGGTGCCGGACACTCCAGCCACGCTGGATCACCTGCAGGTCCCTTGCCCTCTGCACACGCCTGCCGGCTTTGTGTCCCCAGCCTAACTGGCGGCCCCCCTCTGGGCCCAGCCCTCACCACAGCCCAGCCTGCTTCTCCGGCAGGCTTGTGAACTGCCGGGGACAGGAGCTTTCTCTTGCATCTCTAGTCTCTGCCACACTACTCTGCACACAGTAGGGTCCAGCAATATATGCTGGGCTGAGGTGAAGGTGGAGTCACAGAATTATGCAGAAGTGGACGTTCCCTCTAAAGGGAGATACTGGCTTCAAATGAGGCCCACATGCCAGGAGGCACCTACTGAGAGCAGGCCCTGGAAAGCCCATCTGCTCTGGGGCTGTCGCTGAAGGGCAGCGATGGCTCTGGTTGCCTAGCGCCTCCTTATTCACTGCTTTATGCTACTTTGTTTCTTTCTTCTATATGGTGTCTTGTACTGGTTCAGTGAGGGAAGCAAAGGGAACACAAAGGCTGGGCCCTCTGGTGACGGGCAGGTGCTGCTGGCAGCAGTGCTCTGCACCCTAAATCCCCGATCTCGACCAACTTCACCCTACAACATCCCACGAGGGACACAGAGAGGGAAGAGCTAAGGCCCTAGCTGGTGAAGCAAGCCGCCTGAGGTGGGTAAGCGCCTGTCTGTCCGCCTTCTGTACCCGTGCCAGAGAGACTTCCACGGGCATTTACCACCCCCTAAGACCCGCCTCTGACCAGCAGCAGGCTGACATTCACAAGCAAATAATAAAGGACACAGGCTCCAGGCCACTGGTCCTCGTCAAAGAAGTGCAGAAACAAACGTATCTAATCTGTTCAGGACTCGGGAAGGAGCGCAGAGGGCCAGGCTGTTCTGGGGACACTGGATGAAGGATAGGCTGTCCCTGCTCTCAAAGAGCGCACGGGCTCAGGGGAAGTTGGGCATCCCCAACTGACAGGGGCAGGGTGGGGTCTGGGTGGAGCAGGTGCTCTGTGTGTGGGGACACACCAGGCACCCGGGCTGCATTTAGTGCAGAGAATGGATCCAGGCCAGGCCTCTGCTCTGCTATCAAGGGCATGGCCAGGGTGTACACTGTGGCTACTGGGCCCGTGTAGACACTTGTCCTCCTCAGCTGCTCTCTTTATTTAACTGGTCTTACCTGAGGGCCTAGACACATTTTCTGGGAATTGAAAGCCATGGATACAAAAGTGTAAGTATAAAGTCTTCCTTTGTTCACTCAAACAGGATCCACTATAAAGAGCTACGCTTGTGCCAGGCGTGGTGGCACACGCCTGTAATCCCAGCACTTGGGACACTGAGGCAGGAGGATAGTCCTGAGTTTGAGACCAGCCTGAGCTACAAAGTGAGCTCAAGCAGCCTGAACTGCATAGTGAGACCCTGCCTTAAAAAGACAAAAAAAAAAAAAAAAAGAGCTACACTTAGCAAGGACAGCTATCATGAGCATAGTGGTCACTGGTAAGAGGCGCAAACACAGACAGTAGATATGAGGTATTTGGGAAATATTTTGCAATTTGCTCCTTTTAGGTTTTTAAAATGACACAAACATGAGGTGAGTACTTGCATCACTTTGTGATTCCTCTGAGTTGAAACAGCCAGATGTCAAAACAGCCATGTAAGTACATGGAGGCAAAAATTCGAGGTCCAGTCTGGTTGGGGCCTTTATGCATGCTCTGCACTCCTGCCCTCCTGGATGGGTTCCCCCACAAATAACTCAGGCATTCCATGTCCACTTGTCCTGTCTCTGCTCGCAGATGAGCTGAGCTGGGGAACAGAGCTGACCCACTCAGTAGACTAATGATCTTCAGGCATCACCCAGGTGCTGCAGACAACATTCTGAAGCTGGGAGCAACATTCTGCTGGGAATCCTCATACCGCAAGCCACACCTACCTGGAGGTCAAGCTTGGGGGTGTGTGTAGCATGTGTGAGGTCCTGGGTTCAATCCCCAGCACCGAAGGAGGAAATGGAAAGAAATGATGCCTCACTTTTGCTTCCAACTGTGGGCAGCCCAGAGACTGACACCTGTCCTCCGCTGTGGGACGGGGCAGGTGTCGTGAGCCAGTCAGCGACAGCCTCTCACCTCAATGACGAGCTGCAGGTCATCCATGTACCGCTCTTCCGTCTGAATCAGCTCATGGATGTAGCCCTGTCTCTTCCTCTCAGCTGGCTGCATTGTATCCAGCGCTTGGAGATCAGCGCACCCTGCAGAAAAACAGGGTACAGCTTTAAAAATCTATAGGACACATTAGCAGCAGATGTGCTGGGTTGACAAATACTGCTTCGAAACAACACTGCCTTCAAGAGAACACGGCCAAGTTTGCGGGCGTCACATGTATGTGGATAGCTGCGCTAGCTATCCACCACTCGGTTCTCCAGAGTGGCAAGACAGAGCCTCTGTGATATTTCAACACGCTCTTTTGCTCTTTTCTGAGTAGCAGTGACAGTGCTGAGGACTTCTAGAAGTGGCTTCAAAGAGAGCAGCACACCTGCATTAAGCTTGCAGGGATCTCACCATTGCAAGAAATTTTTGAAATTACTGAAATGGTTAAATGAATCAAATACTTGAGACCAATGTTTCCCAAACTGCAGCTCTTGAGCCATCAGTGGGTCATTATCAATTTAGTTTTTTAAAATGCTGGCTCGGCATTAAAAGAAATAGCGCATCATTAGCACTTGGTAAGTATTATAGAAGTTTTTATTTACATATATTCATACATACATGCACACACAGTAATACCTAGGTACACGAACACTTCTGTTTGCAAACAATTTGGTTCTCAAACAAAAGCATTCAACAAAGTTTTGCTTGCATTCACAAATGCCACATTGGTGACAAACACGACTACGGCCATCTTCCCCAAAATCATAAAACAAATTAAATTCATGAATCAAGGTATCCGTGTGTGTGTGTGTGTGTGTGTGTGTGTGTGTGTGTCTGTATTTGGGGATCAAAATGTATTTCTTACTTTGAGTTACTATTTAAAAAAAAAAACATCTATAAAACATGTCTTTAGATTTCTCAAAGCAAGTTTCTGGGGTTAGAGAACCTAAAATTCCCAGCACCCAGCAATTCCCAACAAGACTACCATCCTGACACACTGGACAAGGAACTCCTGGTTTTGAATACAGTGTGGGCATCCAGTCACAGGCAGCCTGGCACAGGGTGGGAGGCGGTGCATTCACTGTGGTGCTCTCTGCTCACACAACATTGGTGCTGAGCTTGAGGTGACACTGAAGTGACACACTGCACTCAGTAGCTGAGGCCTCCTTATGCAGTGAGATGGGGAGTGGCTCAGAACTCCTCAGACAAAAGCAAAAGCAGGCAGGTGTGTGCAATAAAATTTGTGGGAAGCCATGGCTTTGTACAGACAAACTGATACAGAATTTAATCACAGAACTGAGTTTTGGTTGGTTGCAGAAGGCCCTGTAATACATTAACTAGGCTATAACCAATTAACTAGTTACACTGTTCCCAAATGATCATTTGGGGGCTAAGTTGAGGCCAATTAAATTGTTTTCTGTGCCTCAAATTTGTTTTTTCTATTAATGCTACCAGACCACAATGTTGGTTGGAGTTCTCAGGGTCTGTTCTAGGAGCTACCTAGTTTATTAGTTGTTTTTGATTTGTTTTATATTTCTTTGCTCCAGCAAACTTTTCTAAAATTTAACAGCACTTTTTAACAGCCCCCAGCAAGCTGTAACACTGGGCAGCAAGCAACGTGCTTCAGAGAGCTGGGAGAGAGGAAGACAAATGAAGCACGGTGGTCACCTGTCGCCGGGGCCATCAGGAAGGGCTCAGGGAGGTGTCCCAGGAGCGCGAGGGGACGAGGGAGTGCGGTGACAGATGCAGGCGCGTATCCCAGGGAAGGCCTGACAAGGGGAACAAAAGGACAGAGCCCCAGGGGTAGAATATGCCAAGATCAGGCTGGACTTCCTTTATATCTTTATATTTTGTAT